GGGGCTGGTACTGAACCTTTTGAGTTTTGGGAACCAAGTATGGTTGTTGTTGTTGTCTGGTGAGAGTCTTTGAAGGAGTTCTTGCTCTGAAAGTTCTATATTTTGCCAGACTCTGCTGGCCAGGGTGTGCAGCTGCTGGTTGATGAGTTTTATTCTCAGGTCTTTCTGTAGCCCAGCTGTGGTTCTGGTGAAAGGGTGTCTTTCACCTGTGACAAATCTCAGGGCTTCATTTTGGACCACCTGCAATTTTAATAATTGGGTGGTGCTTATAGTATGAAGAGGTACTGCTGGGTAAGTTAATATTGGTATGATAAGTGATGTAACTCTCTTTTTGTCTTTTTCATCCTGTTGTGGACATGATGGGAGTAACCTGTTGTGGATATATGCAGGCCCAGGAGGGTGCCTCTGCTATTGTAATCTATCTGGGCATTATTGTTTACTATTTGATGGGTTTTCCTTCTGCATAGTCATAAGGGTATCACTGTGAATTTGGGGAGAATGGTTTGGATTTTCCTTTTTTTCATAGTTATTTACCCTTTCTATTTCCCGTCTGGTGTTGTAGTTCTCGTGATTTTCCTCAACGTGTTATTTGAATGATGTCAGCATACTCTACATAATATCTTCTTTCCTATTCTAGTAGGAGGCAGAGCGTCACTTGTGTAGCTGATAGATAGGATGGGGGAGAGGACGCTGCACTGAGGGACTCGCTCATGAGTGGGAAGGTCTCTCCTGTGTTGTTCCACCCTCAGTCTGCCGTCAAAAAAGTTGCTTAACAGCTTTTTGATGTTGGCGGAGCTTATATTTTAGACTGTCATGCCAGACTTTGTCAAATGCCTTCGCTACATCCCGGAGAGTTGGCTTACATTGGCTACCACTTGCTGCAGCTCTGGCTATGTTCTCACAAGCCAGGGCTATTGAAGTTGAGATGGACTTCCCTTTCCCGAACCCAAATTGTCTGCAATTGATTCTGTTGGTCGTTTCCAGGTGATTTCTTAGTTATTGATGCTTTTTTTCTAGAATTTTTCAAAGTACTTCGAGGAGGGAAATCGGTTTATAATTTAGTGGGATGGCAGGGTTCTTTCTTTGCTTTGGTGTTAGGGTGATACTGGCCAGGCAGGCATTCATCGTGGTTCTCAGTCTCTCCATGGCCAGATTGTGGAAACGTCTGCCAGTCACCCTGGGGACGCCCTAGACCTTGAACTGCTTCTAGGGACGCCTCAGACCACCAGATACCCTTGGGGACGCTCAAGATTGTAGCGGCCCTTGAAGACGAGCATACCCTTTTGCATTTCGTGACATTAAATCATAACAGCCATTCCTCTGACCATTCTTAAACGCGAGAAACTTTATTGAATTAGTATACTTTAATAACATCTCGGAGGACAATACCTGTACGCGGTTGTTCATCCATACCTGGAGCTTGCAGATGCCTGCCTTACTAGGGTTCACAGCTTCAGGTTGAAGAAGCTGCAAGTTTGGAAAAAATGTCAGGGCAAACTTTTTTGAAGTGAAAATTTTAAACTGGAACAATCTGCCAGGGAGTGTTGTGATGGCACTGAGTGTGAGCTCCTTCAAGACCAGACTTTACCAATGCTGGTGCAGGTACAGATATTTCTGAAGCATGTACATGTTCAGTACTTGCCATGTATACTAAAAAAAAAAGGGACTCCATAGTCTGTGATGCCTCAGGGCCTTCAAAGTTCCCAGTCTTGGGTACACCTGTTGTGAGGGGAACTTTTCCCACAATCTAGTACAAATGAATCTATTTAAGTATGGAATTTGGAATTAAAATGGTACACAATTACTACCATTATACATTTTAATGAAGAATTGAATTAAAAATTATCTCAAACTCCAGGGCAGTAAGCTTGGTTTGGTTATACTGTACAGTTATTCCAAGTACCTGAGCAACTTCCCCTCCCCTCCCCCATTCCAAAAACCCTGGAACTGCCTCTGAAAGAAGGGTATAGATACAGTAAAAAGAAAGTTATATTTATTGTTTTCAATAAAATAGTGATAAAACATATTGTCTGTATAAAATAACAAATGGATAAGTGCTCTACCATTTCTTTACACAAGCACCATAATACCGTGCATAAAAAGGAATATCTTTCTATAACAAGTCAATATAAATAAACTATATGTACAGTATATATTTATATTCTGTATTTTTTTACAGAATATGTAATTGCAAAAGAGCAATACAGATGTATATAATTTCTTTCAAAATTCAAACGGGTCTGTATGTAGGGATGATCAAGTAATCATAATACAAACTAAAAATTAATAGCATCATCACTAACCTAACCAATTTTATTTAGATACAGTATAGTCTGCATTTACACGGTCAATTGAACCCATGGAGGTCCGCGTAAAACGAGAAACGCGTAAACGAAATAACAGAACATATGGGATTAATTGAAATACAGACTAGGCCGACTCCCAAACTCCACTTTTTCTGACACAATACGTACTTTGTAGTAAAAATAACATCATAATTTTATGATGGTATTGACACACATAATATCTAAATAAAAAAAAAATACAAATGTAAAGGTGTTTAACACTTATGTTAGTAGAAGAGATGGGTCGGCACACGTGGATGGCAGCTGGTTCCGAGGCATAGGGCAGATTAGTGGCCCTCCGGTGAATCACTATCAGTATTCACAGAGGTTTGCAGGGCCTCCCTGACAAACCCCTCAAAGTCCATATCCTCACTGTCACTATCACTGACTTGGGCTGGCTGTGGTTGTGGTGGGTTGCGGGCGAGACTAGCATTGATGTTGTCGTAATACATCTGGACATACGGCTCCATAATTTTTGACAGAAGGTTATTAGACACTTCATACTGATGCTTGACCGTGTCTTTGTCAAGGATGAGCTTGATTTTCTCCCCCAACTCAATGACTTCCTTCACATAACAATGGCTTGGTCCAGGTAGTTCAAGGTTTCTTGAGGGTGGTGGGGGTCCAGCGGAAGCCATTGTGAGGAGAATAGCGGGCACGAGAGAATAGTATACGCGGAGAACTGAGAACAATGAGACTGGCCCGGCTAGGTCAGCGACTTCTTCCCTCTGGTGGCAGGGCACGTCATGTTACATTAGACCAATCACAGCTAACGGCGGAGGGAGGTAAGGAAGCGTGGCCCAATCAGTCCTATACGTCATATGACATCATCGATAACGTAAGAGCGACCTAATGCGCACCCTCCAGGCGCCGCTTCCCGCGTAAATGATGGAATGAATAGTGTAACTTAAAATTTTCATTCTGGCAAGGTGCCGCGTAAATGACCAAACGCGTAAAGCAAATCCACATAAAAGCAGAATATACTGTATAATGTACAGTACTGTACTGTAGTTTAGTTATGTTATGAAAGTGAATGACATCTCAAATGAAATGCAGTACAGGGATATTTGATCATAAATGTAAAGTTCTAGCAATAAAAACAAAAAGGTGCTACTGTACTACAGTATACTGATATGTACAGTATACACAAGTACTGTATTTGACAAAACCATCAGTTGGATTTTACTCGCATTATAGGAACCTTGATAACCCAAAATGGTTGGAACCAACAACCATTTGCTGGAATTTTTTTTTTTCCCCACAGTAGTGATCCCTCGGTTAAAGAGATTTCGGTTAACGAATTACCTTCCATAAGACTCTTAACTTTGATTAACAAGTTTTTAACGAGCGCCCCTCCACATGTTTTCGCTTGCATTTGGCTGTCCACCAGCTGTAGTATTAGTCCGTCAATACAGTAATCGGTTCTAGGGCTTAAATTCCTTACTATTTTAGTAAATATCAAGAAGTTTGTACTATTCAATAATTTAAAAAGTTTAAGATGAATTTTTTTAGTCATTTTAACAATTATTGAACATAATTGAAGTATAGGAAGCTAGTTTTTTGCTCTCCAAACAGCCTGTCAACACACCATCCAGGCGCCAGTCTGTCTTTTTAGTGGAGGTAACATCTTGCTTGACTCTAACTAAATGCTTTTTTTCGGTTTCCTAGCAAATTATTGGTCAATTTGAAATTTATTTTACATATTGACAATATATAATGCAGTGCAGTATTGATTTAAAGAAAATAATCTTGAATTACACCAAGAGAACTAAAATTTTATGGGTGAAATGGCACCATGGGGGGACTTCTCCTCCACCCCCATTCTAATTCCCATCATCATCATCATCCAGGAGCCTTCTACATACAAACCTCAAAGTAAGTGTACTTTACTATCTTTTTTTTTATTTTAGGCAATCTCCGGTGAGCTAGAACCAATTACCCAAAAACCCATTGAAACAATGGTTTCGGTTAACGAGCAACCTTCTGGAACAAATTGTGCTCGTTAACCGAGGGACCACTGTAATTAGTAAAGTATGGGTTCAGAAGGCTAGACTAGTATCACTACACCCATTAGTGGGCAATGGTGTCTTATGAGAAGACACTGCGGAGAGCGAGGATTTTTTTATTTATTTTTTATACAATACCTGGACACGAGTCATTATTGTACCTGTATAAGCATATGCCATATAAAATAGCGGCGACACCAGAAATAATGATTGGAGCTTCCAGATTTATGGTGTTTAGCCAGATACTGTAATAGAATTTATGGAAATATTGTACAGTATTTTGAAGCTGTGCCAGGTTTTGGTGAATTCTTGAATAATTGGTTTTCGGATCATCAAGGTTCCAAGGTATTATATTTTTTCTCATAATGGACATCACAATTTGCAGCAGCTTAAATATATACACTGTACATACATATTAATTTCTTTTACCTAATTTATTAATGATCACACACACATTGTATACACAGGATTCACTAATATTGATAAAATTTTCACATATGCAACTTAATTTGCCTATTCAAGTTCCCACACTTCCTAAAGTTATTCATTATCAAGGTCTACAAAATACAATAGTAAATTGAACTAATGGACAAATACATACAGTACAGTAACCAGAAAGTTTTAAGACTGGACTAAGGATTCTCTGGTACCGTATTTAGAATTTTATTAAATAAACATCTGAAAGTATACAAGAGTAGACATTATACAAGTTTAGTGGATCCTATCTACCATGCAGAATTTCCTTACAAAAATTACACATAATAATACTGTAGATCCAATTTAGAGAGCAAATTACCTTGAAACCTAGATTGAATGACACAGAATGAATCTACAGTGATAACCTCAAGTGTTCATGCATTGGTCTTTGTCAGATGTTTCACATTATTTCAAACAATTAGGGTCTCAATAGTCTTTAGATTGCTGTATTAAGTATTTAGTCTTCAATTATCTTATTTTTGACGGTGTTTTGTAATTTTATTAACATTTAAGTGATTTTTATAAGACATATTAAACTGTTGTGAATCACTGCCCTAAACATCTACAAGTCTGGAAGCATGACACATGAGGAGTGTTGTAACATTAGACTGTGCCTCATCAGATAGGCAATATCTCAGCTAAGCTAGCTCTATGGTGAAAAGGTGATTAACTTCTCCTTATACTTACGTATCCTGTTCTTTTAATTAACCTTACTTAGCCTTTTGTAAATTTGTTATGTTCAACAATAAACAGAAATTTAAACTAACAGTAACAAACAAGCAAATGATGTGGCTGGCCTATGGAGACTGGCACATAATGCTAAACTCTACTTAAAAAATAAACATGCCAGCGTCAAGTCGATTTCCAAATTTAATGGAGAACATTCTAGATATTTTCCCTTCAAACTGCATAGGTGCAACCTTTCATTTAAATGATCCCAAATTACATGAAAAGCTGGGTCTTTGCTACTTAATATAATTTGTGCATTATGCCTCAATCTTTATATACGGTAGTTTAGAACTTCTGTAGTTTAATGAATTGATAGTTTTAGCTATCAACATTATCCACACTACACCCATTATAATCCACAATGACTTGTCTAAATGTAGGTAAAGTACCAGTAATCATATTTAGGTGTCAATCAGATTGGTAATTATAGGAAAAGGAAATGTCACATTCAGCAAAAATTTTCTGTGAATTTTTAAGTCTACCAACTACACCAAGATTCAATTGGCAACTCATTATTTTATAAAGATTATCTTGCATAATTCACACCTAAATGAGTTTAAGAGTTACAATCTCCAGTATAGGTCTTCTCTATAAACCTTTCTGAAATGACATACTGCAAATAATCATTATTACAGTACTGTACAGAAAAAAACTGTCTCGGTCTCATTATTAAATGTGATAACTTTTAAGACAGTCAACGGATAGTGAATGGGAACATGATTATACGGATGAAATTAAGTACAGACAGGAGACAAGAAGAATTAAATATTAGCTTGAATGGAGATGGAGGAAGTGGAGTGTTTCAGATATGAACGCATGGATGAGTTAGCAAATGGAATAATGAGTGATGAATTGAACCAGTGTAGCTGATGGAATGAGAATGATAGATGGATTGAGAAATGCATGAAGAGTTAAACACAGTGTCAAAGGAAACAAAGACAGAGGAATTATTAAATGGATGTATGGCAACAGCAATGACACTTCAGAGCAATGAGAAAAAGACAGATGTGGAAGTAAAAGACAGAGATGTGGAAGTAAAAGAAGTTGTTGAGGAGAGATTTGATCAGGGCTTGATAAAGAAGAATAATAATAAATATGAAAGAATGGAAAGTGAAAGATTGAAAGACAGTGTACGGAGATGGGAAGGCCAAGAAAGAGATGGAAAGATAGGGCGAAGGAAACACTAGAAAACCGAAAGACCATCCCAAAGAACTAATGAATGACAATGACGATGGTTGTGTACGGTTTGGTGAAAGGTTTCAAATAGTTAAATAAACCATCCCTTCTATATTACTACATAATAATAATAATAAACAGTTTGCAGATAAATAAACTTTTCTTACACAAATACAAACCTTCACACATTCATGAGATCCCATAGAAAAAAATATTCTTATATAAATAATTAAAATACAATGACTAAAACTCATCAATAATTAAAATACGACTAAAACTCATCAATATTTAAAATACAATGACTAAAACTCATCAATATTTAAAATATAATGACTAAAACTCATCTTTGTGTACTTAAATATTAGCTGATTTTACTTGTTAAAAGAAAATCACATGCGAAGAGAAATACACTTAAATTTATATCTAATGCAGAATCCTAAGATTTATATTATTAAACTAAAATTCCACACAAATAAAACTTCCCCAAGAATCTTTTAATCACATACTCATAATGATCATACAATATAGTACAATAACTCAAAACTACAACATACATCCTTGTCATAAGATAATGATAAAAATTTTAATATTGAATTGAAATTTCCTGATCTTGTATGATCTGATTCATTACACAGATGTTCCAAGCACCCCTTCTAGGAGAGGACCTGCATACCATTTATTTTTCTTTCAAACTCCTTCCTTAAAATCACAATGAAAAGAATGCACAGTGGAATTATTAGTTATAAAATGGAAGAAGTGAAAAAAGGAAAAAATCAAAGAAGCCTTTTTAAATTAATTATTTCCCCTTCATCACACAAATGTTAACTAGATAAAATCAAATTAAGTACATTTCAAACTCTTCTAAAGTATTCCCCATTCTCATGTACTGTAGTGCTGTACTGTATTACACAATGTCTTAATTAGACAAGATTATTTTCTCTCCCCCACATCTATATTGGTCTAGCTAATATTACCCTGGAAGTGGAAATTCTCCTTATGGCTTCTCTATAGCATGTATATCACAGATTTCCAGGTAGGGGAATAACTGTCTATGGTATGCATGTCACAGAACTATCATAAAATATCAAATGGAAAGCAAAAATTATCCATTCTTGGAATGTCATTTTATCAAGCCCATTTGTGTGGAAGGTGGCTCTGAAAGATTACTTCAAACCCCAAAAAATTTTTCTTACAGGAAGTACCCAGGCTACAGTATAAGTATATTCAACGTACAGTAATCTCAATATAAATTTACTTACAAACACAGGGCAAATACTATACAAACTATCAATAATTGGCTAGGAAGACGTAGGGCACAATTATTTTACATATGAAAACAAATTTGCAGAGCCACAACAGGTCACTAAATTAAACTTGTCAACCATGGCATAATACTGACTCTAGCAGCAATAGTACTAAAAATCATTTTAGGGATAATGATGAGAGAATCAAGAAGTAGTCTGTGGCCATCTGTGGTACATCTGGTCAAGAGGAACATGCAACAATTCAATGAGGGCTGCATATTGAGGTTCACTTTCTGGAGTGATGAATCCATGTCGTACAAGGAAGTCAACAGCAACAGGGACTGAAGTCAGTTTGTACTTTAAAGATGTCACACATTCCAAGTAGTCCTATCGAAAGTAAGAAAAAAATTGCTTGAATCAGTTTCTCAGGGTACAACTTTGTCATTCTGAAAATTCATTTATGGTCAATTGAACACATGCAATATGCATACCGTACTTACAAAACAATGTTTAAAATCCCACTATATTATAACCGAAGTCCTTATATAAATCTAAAATCACTTAATTTAAGACAAAAGAAGAAATAGAATGACAAAACACAATAAATGAAAGTAAAGAAATAAGTTATCAGGTAAGTAAAATACATACTGTAAATTTCATATTTAACCCTGTTTGTATCTGCGGGCATTCGTAAGTTGGGGACCTCCTGTATATATATTCAGCCTACAGAGATACATCATGAAGATATGAGACCTCTCCAAAATTTATTGTATGATACAGCACTGTACAGGTAATCACCTTTTCAGATACAGTGCAGTACATTATTACTCTAATATATCCTCATTTACTAGAGAAATGAATAGACAATTCCTTGTCCAGTACTGTATGAGAAAAATTAAGCACAGCAACCAATTGCTAGCCTGAAAAACCTTTCAAGCAAACAAACCTGTCCAAAAGAGCAATGTTAAATAATGTTTACAAACAGCCATCAATGAACATAGAATGGTTGCCCCTCGTGTTTGAGGATGGTTCGCCCTAGGGCCACCTAAACATGAATTTGTTAAAGTTGTAAAAGAAGCTGCCAACACAACAAATACACCTTAAATTTACAAACTGTATGACACAGCGTCAAGAAATAATCCGAGAAGACCGGACAACTTGCTAATTGCACTGGCTAAACAGTACCCTGGAACATGATCTGCAAATTTATTAACATCTAGATTCCCTATTACTGCTCAGCAGAAAGAGGTAAATGGCCTGAAGAAACTTGCCCAGAGTTCCACCCTGGCCAGAATTGAACCTGGATCCACTCACTTGCGAGGTGAGCATGCTGATCATTACACAACAGGTCACCATCTGCCAGAGAGCATTGTGACAGCACTGAATGTGAGCTTATTCAAGGCCAAGCTTGACCAACACTGGAGCAGGTTCCGATATATTCAGGAGCCAGTGCATGCCCAGTATTTGCCAACAGTGTGTAACAGAGATGTGACCGACCGCCCAAGCGGCTAACGAAGAGGATAAAACAAATATCCAGTAAATAACACGAGAATCATCTTAAACTACACTACAGTGTATTTATTTACAGTAACACTAACAAAAGCATGGAATAATAGCATGAAAAAACATGCGACTTGGATTAAGATGCATCATTTAGTAATAACGGTTGCCCCTCGTGTAACGAGAATGGCCGGCCCAAGGGCCACCTGAGCGTCAATTTGTTTAAGGTGTAGAAGCTGTCGCCAACACAACAAACACACCCAAAAGTTAATGAGTGGCCTGACCCAGTGTCAAGGAATAGTCCGAGAAGACCGCACAACTCGCCAACTGCACTGGCTAACCATTACCCCAGAACACGATCCGCAAATCGATTAACATCAAGGTTCCCAATTACTGCTGGGTAGACAGGAATATGGCATAAAAAAAACTTACCCATAGTTTCACCCTGCCCAGGGATTGAACCCGTGTCCGCTTGCTTGCGAGGCAAGCATGCTGACCATTACACCACAGGTCGCCTCAATTATTGGTAGTGTACAGTACAGACAGTGACATGACAAGGCAGTATCATGAAAGATAAAAAAACTATAAGAAATTTGTGTTGTTACCTCTCGCTATGATTAGTTGCAGACATCACCGTTTTATGGCCATCATGCACGCTTGTGTGGGTTAGCTGCAATTACCTTATGGTATGGCAATTGGGACATGGGCATTACAGTATATGCAGGATTTTCAAGAAGTGCCATTTTAATTGGCAAGAAAAAGTAGCAATTCTCTGGACGTCACCCAATCAACTATGTGTAACAGACAAATTTAGAAGTGCGGTGAATTATGCAATCACACATGACAAAATATTATAAATACTGTAAAAGCAAAATCGTTCATGTGTACAACATCTCTGCTAAAAGATGCCAGAACTATTCACTTTATATTTACATCTATGAAGCTTTACTTGTACTGTAGATGCAATCTAAATCTTAGGTGAGCAAATACATGCTCCCATTATTACCAGAAAGAAAAGCAGTGGGAGTGAACGAGCAGTTGCTTACATACAGCACTGCACCTAAGGCCACTCTTAAAGAAAACACTGTTAATAAGTCTTAATGTGTATAAAGGAAACTGAATGAACAGGCACTCAAGGGTCCTTTTGTTGTTACCAAACCGACAAGAATAATTCTAGATAAGAATCAAAGATTTATAAAAATAAATAAAAATTACTAGGCTTCACGTTCTTACCTCCACAGGTACAGCTTCAAAACCTTCTACCTCACCATCATTGTTGCATGGCACAAAGTCTGATGGTAGTTCCAAGTCATACACAAACTCGGTATTGGCATGCAAGCCACGCTCAGTCTCTGTAAAGAACCTGGAAAAAAGGTTGATATTAGGGTAAAAAAAATTTAATAATACATTATCTCAAAGTGTTTGCGAGTGAAACTACTCTTCTTGTTTAACCTGTTCACCGATCTTACCATAAATAAATGTTCTGTACCATGTGTTCTGTGGTCGTGAGGGTGTATCATTTTACTCTCTCTTGCCAGGCTGTGCACATTTGTTTGCATGTTTTGCATTATTCTTGGCAATTTATCGGTGACATATTGTACACCTACTGGTAACCTATACCATGCTATAATGGCAAGTACCAGAGGTAGCAATAATTCCAGGTCCCACCAAGGATGTAAACATACAGTTACAGTATTGTATTGCAAATACTGTATGGAAACTAGGAATCACTGAACAATCTGAGTAAAATGAGAGCACTCTGATGTTACAGCAGGCATATGATCAGAAGATAAATACATTCTATAATATCATTGCGTGTACTGTACCTGCAGAGTAAAAAAACGACCAATAAGTTGCTTCCTTTGTGAGGAATATTAATAGAGAACATCAATTATGTTAAAGAACAGCAAAGAATGATTAGTTCATAGGTGAATGATTTTTATTTATTTTTAATTTCTACATACAGTTTTTATAATGTTTATGCTGTTTATCTGTAGAGTATTCTTAATAAAAATATACATTTATGTAAGTGAAAAGGGTTTGGTGTTAAAGAATGATCAGTAAAAAAAAATTAAAATTAAATATTTTGTACCTACAGTACTGTATTGGGTTAATAGTTGGAAATGCTACATGTTGAACTCCTCCAATCTGGCACCCCGGGACCAGACCAGAGAATTTTCCTAACCACGGGTGGTCAACATATTAAGTACTGTACCAAAAACGATACAAGCTCTTTACAGTCTGTTTGGTTCTTTATTTTCCTAAATAAATTGGCGTCATCCACAAATATTTTTATGGAGGAATATATAGCTTCTGGCTTATCATTTATAAAACAAACAAGCAACAATGGGCCCAGTACACATACAGTACTGTATTAATACAGGGTACGTATATGAAATAATCCTTGAAATTTGAGGACCCTTTGGAATAAATAAAAGAAAGATAACTTATAAGAAAATATTAGCAGTTTGACTATAGACAATGTTTTACTGGATGTGAATTGTATGACACTTACGAGACTGTTCCAGCAGGACATGCCGTTTTAGCAAGACTCTCAGAAATGGCAGCTTCTTCGTGCGCTTCCTTCAACATGACTTGAAAGGGTGGTAGTCCTGCTGTGATGCCCCCACCAACCATTGTGTCCATCATACCAGGATATGTTGGTTTGTCAATTGATCGTTTTTGAACCCAAATAGTCTTCACTCTGCCATCTTCAGATGACCTTGTGTAACCCATGATGTGTACGCCAAACACTCGCACACCGAGAAGAGCTGAAAAATAAATTATTTTAGCACCATGAAAGAATTATGAAAATATACTCAATCTCTGGTACAATTCTTTGAAAGTGTTCAGTGTTATAGTTCTGCTTCACAACTATGATACAGGATGTAATTACATTTGGGTAAACGCAGATATTTTCAATAAAGAAAGAGCAAAATATCTATCTGATACCTGTAAATTGTTCCTGATCTATAATAAATTTTATCCTCTTTGCCACTGATTTGCCCGTTAGCTGCTTGGGCAGTCGATCAACTAATTAATTTGAATTTATTATTTCACAACTTATCAGCTTTCTTGCTATTCAGGCAGTTGGTCTGTTCTTTATTACAGTACTTTGTTATGAGCTTTATTATACAGAGTTAGTACAAGTGGAAACCTGCAAAGCTTGGGAGGATCACACTGAATGCCATCCTTCCCACATCTGCCCCAAGCTAGGTAACAAACTCAAGACAGGGTTTTTCATTGCTAAGATTCCATCCAATAGTGAAATTAATATTTTGACTACAAGGGTTCATGAGACAGATGGAGTAAATTAATAATGTAATGAGGGCCTGCATCATGGATCCTTAATTATAGGTAGGTCGAAGTACCAAATGTTCTCTACAGTTACACCACATGGGAGTTACTTTACTGTACCTGTATTGTATACGTAGATCTTAAACATACAGTACCTACTGTACTTATAATTTTGAACATAATATAATACTGTATAGTACAGTGTTTGTAAACAATACTTGGGCATTCCTTTCATACTGCATTGTCACCCAGTAATTTTCATAAGACTTATCACTTATCAGCAATAATATTAATAATAAAAATAATAATAATAATAATAAAAAAAAAAGACTAAGAGGTTCAGGTCACAGTGATATAAGCAACCAAGCTCTCATGCCCATAACAGTGTTGTCCAGCGTCCCATCGGTGGGAGAGAATATATATTTGTTGTACAGTGGTCATTCCAGGAGTTGCAGAGCTTCTTGTGATAATAGGCAAAATTCCAGAGGAAAAGGGGGAGTTGTACAATGCGTCTCAACCACAGTTAAAATATTCAACTTAATTATTTAAACTGAAGCAAGAATCAAACCCTTTCTAGCAAACTTTGGTATGCTCTATCCATACTCTCAAACACCGTGGGTGGTTTAAAGCACTGTCTCCATCATTATATCATTAAATTGTGTGACTACACATACAGTGCCGTACCTTTTACCAGTGCCACCACACACTATCAGCCAATTCATTCTGAGCTCAATCATTTTGGAAAATTCTCATTAAAATTTGCCAACAATACAATTTATGGAATTACAAACGAACAAAAGAATGGAGGAAACTGCAGCAGGCCTATTGGACCATACTGGGCGGTCCCATTTACACCCAACCCCTGTCGCTCATATATCCATCCAACCTATGTTTGAAGCTATCCAGCGTATTCGAGTTAATGATGACGTTTGGTAACTTGTTCCACTCATCCACTACTCTATTTCCAAACCAGTGTTTACCTATTCCTCACCTAAATTTAAATTTGTCTAATTTAAAACCATTGTTACGAGTTCACTCCTGGTTGGATAGTTTGAGTACCTTTGTAATGTCACCTTTGTTTAGCCCCGACTTCCATTTATAAACCTCGATCATATCGTCCCTCACTCTACGTCTCTCAAGGGAGTGCAAATTAAGATGCTTTATCCTGTCTCTGTACTCAAAGTTCCTAATGCCCGGGATTAGTCTTGTCTTTCTCCTCTGAATTCTTTCTCGGGATTCTAAATCCATTCTGTAGTACGGTGACCAGAATTGAACCGCGTAATCCAAGTGAGGTCTCACAAGAGCAAGATATAGTTTTAGGATGACCTTGCTAGTCTTGTAACTAACACTCCTTTGTATGAACCCAAGTACTTTGTTAGCCTTGTTTCAAGTAAATACACATTGTTTACTTGGTTTGAAATTTTTACTTATCATTACTCCTAAATCTTTCTCAGTCAGATTTCTCTCTAACAACGTTGTTCATCTGGTATTTGGTTTCTCTGTTTACATCTCCTATACTGAGTACTTTACATTTGTCCATGTTGAATTTCATCTGCCATTTTCCAGAAAATTAAAAAAATTTGTTTAGGTCTTCCTGTAGTTTTGCGGAGTTCTCGTCAGATTTAATTACACGCCCTATTTTAGTGTCATCAGCAAATTTACTTATGTTGCTGTCTACGCCGATATCTATGTCGTTTATATATATAATAATTAATAAGAATCCAAGTACTGAACCTTGGGGTACTCCACTAGTGACTTTACTCCAATCGGATTTATTGCCATTAATGCTCACACGCTGTTTCCTGTCCTGTTACCACGCCCTAATCCATTTTAGAATATCTCCTCCAGTGCCATGAGCCTGCACTTTTCTTATTAGTCTTTCGTGGGGGACTCTGTCGAAGGCTTTGCTAATGTCAAGATATACCACATCATAGTCATGCCCGTCGTCCACTGATTCAAAAACAGCTGAAAAGAATGTTAATAGATTAGTTAGACACGAACACCCACTTGCGAAGCCATGTTGGGAGTCACTGATCAACTTGTGCTTCTCCAGGTGATTTTGAATAGTTTGAAAATATTGCTTCAAAAAATACTACAGTATCCATATTAAAAAATAAAGAAAATATTTATATATACTTACTAACACCGGACCTTTCCATCTTAAAGAGAGGCTCAACCCCAAAATCTGCCCACACATTGAAGCACTCATCCCGCCAGCCTCGTAGTGCCACCAGCACATTTTTTGTTCTTAGGTCTTGTAGCACAAGGTCAATAGCATTTGATCTTTTATTGTAGGAGTCCAGCTGAGAAATAAATATATTGCATTAATAAATATACATTACCTCCATTGTCTCATGGTTATCTACACTATACAGTACTTAATTACAACACCACACCAGACCTGGTAGTATTTCAAGTACAGTTCTGTAGTATATATATATATATATATATATATATATATATATATATATATATATATATATATATATATATATATATATATATATATATATATATATATATATATATATATATATATATATATATATATATATATATATATATATATATATATATATATATATATATATATATATATATATATGTATATATATATATACATACATACATACATACATATACATACATATATATATATATATATATATATATATATATATATATATATATATATATATATATATATATATATATATATATATATACACATCACTGTCTAAATTTAAAAAATCCATTGTAATACAATAAGTTCAAACTCCATCATAGACTGAGTTTACCTGTGGGTTCAGTGTGAAGGCGTCTGGTGATGGGATGAACACCTGGGGATAATTGAGAAGACACTTCGCAACGTCTGGGCGTATGGCACCAATTTGACGCCCACAAGCTAAAAGTGGACGACATTCTCCCTGCACACTGACTAGACCTGAAAAATACATATTTCTTATCATACAGTTACACAATCAATTATGAAGACGAGCTTGGATATAACTATTTTTGTAAATTGAAGGCAGCTAATGAAACTGTAGTCTGAGTTACAAATGTTTACAGTATGTAATTTTTTGAGTAAAGTGTTTCACAGTGTAATCTTTTGGTTAAGTGTTAGACAGAGTGCAATCTTTTGGTTAAGTGTTACAAAGTGTGTAATCTTTCTGGTTAAGAGTATTACAGTGTGAAATTTTTGGTTAAGTGTTAGACAGTGTTTAAGCTTTTGGTTAAGTGTTACAGTGTGTGTAATCTTTTGGGTTAAAAGTGTTACATTGAGTCTGATCTTTTGAGTTTCAAGCTGTTACACAGTGTAACAGTGTATGATATTTGAGTTTCAAGTGGTACACAGTGTCTAGTTTAAAATAACAGTTTGGTCAAGCGCCCATATGCAGCATTTAAAGAAACAACATAAATGAAGGTACTGTATTGTATTGTACTGTATGGCATCGATGTAGAATTCATGTGATGGATGTAAAAAGACAGGTACAGTATACTGCAAATATGTCATTCTAATTTTCAAAAGTAACTGAGTGACTAGAATAATATACAAGTAAACATACAGAGAAGGAGTAGAGGGTGTGTGAGTAAACAAGTTGTGACAGCAGGTGGAGAGGTAGCAGTAGCACCGCGGGTGCCAGCGTGTATATATAAACATATCCTTGAGCTTAGCACCTGTGACCCTTATAGCAGCACGCCATTGTCTCTCTCAAGGTGAATGTACGTACCTGCTTATCTCTTAAATAACCTCTCCCATTTGTTATTTATTTCACTTGTTGCCACCCAGAGAATTTTGAGAATTTTATGGTTACAATCAATAATTAAGATAATTCTAAGACCTCTTTCTTCTATGACGTTTCCTTTGCAAACGACTTATACATGCCGGGGGTTCAGGGGACGAAGCTCCCCGGTTTAGGTTAGGTTTGGCCATTTAAGAGAGAAACTTCATATTAGAAAAATTTTAGAACTGTCTAAACTATTAATTGCACCCATAAAATTATCAAAATTCTTTGGGTGGCAATAAGTGAAATTTTACGTCCCGTTTTAACGCTACTTAATTTGCCAAGTCTACCTTCTCCTGGTGAGGTAATTTTGGTTTTAGTAGATGCGATGGAGCCATTTCTTATTCAATAAAATTTAAGTCACCATTCGTAAGAACATAGGAATGAAGGAAACTGCAGCGGGCCTATTGGCACAAACTAAGCAGCCCTGTTTACACTCCGCCCATATCAGTCATATATCTGGCCAATCTATATTTGAAACTTTTCAGCGATTTCGAGTTAATGTTGGAGTTCAGTGGCTTGCTCCACCCATCTACAAATCTATTCCCATCCAATGTTTATCCAACTCCCGCCTATATCTAATTTTAATTTAAAACCATTGCTACGAATTCGCTCCTGATTTGATAGTTTAAGTACTGTACCATAGTTATATCACCATTATTTAACCCCATCTTGAATCTTCCCTTATACACTTTAATCCTATCGCCCCACCCACCCGCTACGTCTTTCAAGGGAATGCTAATTCATTTTCCATAATTTGTCTCCACACTCAAGTTACCAATGCCCGCGATTAACGTTATCATTCCCCCCATAGTGCTTTCAAAAGTATCTATATTCATTCTTTAGTATATTGACCATAAATGAACGGCATAATCCAATTGTGTTCACACGCGAGATATATAAACATGAACCCTGGTATACTGTACTTGTATACTTGTTAGCCTCTCTCATACATAGACGATTCCTAGTTATGATACTTACCGACAATTCCTTCTCGCAATCTGATATTTTATGCAGCCTGTCTCCTCAGATCATTTCTGACAACAGTTTACAATACATTACATTATATTAAACAACCCATGCATTACGTTAGAAAATTCGTCACATGACATCGCGTTAACGCTGAACTTGAAATGTTTTGTTTTTTGTCTTCAACTTCTTGGTAAATACGCTATTCCTCCAATAATTAACAAATAGGAGATTTAACTTTCCCTTATTACATCTCATCCAGCGGGACGGCAACAATAAACGTCTTGAATAAGGTTACTACAGTATAACTAAAGTTGTTCCAACACCCTCCTCCCTGCCATGACAAATTAATGATTACTGAAATCGTCTGAGACCTTGTGATATAAAGTACCAACTTAACAAATTTTTATAACTACTAACTTGTTTTCTCAGTTAGCTTGTTAACACCACCCACACAAATGAGTAGACGTATGGAGAATAAGAATATAATCCAACAACTCTCCTCCCAGAACGGCACTGGTTGCAAGAAGTACCAAATTCACGGTGTATGACTGTACTGTACATGTTTTATTTTCTCGTTATTTGTGGTACATCACAATGTGTTCAAATGGACACGGAGGTGGAGGAGACTGCAGTGGGAGCGGGTAAACAGAGTGAAAGGTTACAGGGAAATAGTGCCAGGAATAATTACAAAACTAAATTGGCCAGGGAGTTAAAACCTAAACACGTCAAAGAGAGGACTTGGTGCACGACTAACTTAAATGTCTACTACGCAAACAGTAGGAGTATGAGAAACAAAATGGATGAAATCAGGGGGTTGTTATGTACCGAAAAATCAATATAATAGCATTCACCCTAACATAGATTGAACTTACTCACGAGTTACCTGCCGAATACCAAATTGCAGGTTACAAATTATTCCATACCGATAGGCAGATTAGGAAAGGAGGCGGAGTAGCAATCTATGTCAGGGATAATCTGATGTGTAAAATAAATAAGGAAATGAAATCTGAACTGAATACAGTCAAGGCCTAATAAGTTGCCAGCTCCCGATGAGATATTTGCCAGAGTATTAAAGGAATGTAAGGAAGAGCTTAGTATGCCCTAATCAAAGCTGTTTAACATGTCCTTAAAAACGGGTGTAGCACGAAAATCCTGCAGGATAGAGAATGTAATACCGATTTTCAAGAAGCGAGAAAGATCACTAGCCTCAAACTTCTGTCCAATCAGCTTAGCATCAATTGCAAACAAATTACTGGACGCAATAATTTCAAACTATTCGAAATCACCTGGAGAAGCACAAGTTGATCAATGATTCCCAACATATGATAGTTACGTTTTATAAGATCGCTACATTTAGCAACAAAGTAGTCTCTACATTCAACAACAGCTTCAATTTGACACGTTTCCCCGAGATATTATCGTTGGCGGCAGATTTCAGATTTGCCCCCATGCAACACAGGGGCTAGTTTATTGCTCACCCCCTCCCACCCTGTGGTGGTCTAAAAATACGACTGACCTTCAGCTGACTCTACAAACATTGCAGGCTTTGGAGCAATGCCCAGACCTGCAGCTTCAGACATTTATAAGGTCAATGCCACGCTAGACAAGGGACTGTCATACCATCTCCGTCATATTATAAATATCAATGTTCCATGTTAAAAACACAAATAAGCCTATCAATGACCCCATATTATAAACACAAACATAAATGACCCCCATGTTATAATCACAAACATGTTTCAATAATATACACAGCAATGCTCAGGTTATATGTCGTATATTAACATTGTCCCTAATGGGTCATCAAACCTGCACATAATTTGTGGTGGCTTCATTAATGTGACATTTTTCTGGTGAGCAACATATTTCTTTAGAAAACACTAAACAAACAGGTGTTCAGCATCTCAAACGTTGGTCAATGCTGCTGACACCCTTACCTATTTAATCATTTTTTACATAGAGATACTCTTTGGTAGTGTGATGTAAACAAATGAACTGAACGATGTTTACTCATCTTGCAGTTGAAACACTTAAATCAAAGGCCACAACACCAAGATTACCGATGACGGAAAAAATGGAGAGGGTGACAGATGGCCCCCGTGTGGCTGCCAGCTGCACACTTATACTGTTAAACATAGGAAGTTTATGGGATCCTCTTCGCTACTGATGCCACTCTTGCAGGTCGGGGTGTCGGTCATCTGTTATGCACTGCTGGCAAGTACTGGGTCAAGAATGCACCTGAACCTGCACCACTGTTGGTCAAATTCACAACTCTCACTTAAAAAAGGGTTAATTGAGTCGACACTTCTCTAATTTGAGGCCGTGACCTTTAATGGGATGGGCAATCGCTATATTCAGTTAAGAGCACTTGACTGGATGTCCTTTGAGTTGCTTATAAGCTAATATTAAATCTCCCTTGCCCGTCTACAGTATACTGTAGACGCTTTAGTATAAACTGAGCAGCTACGTGTACTGTCTTACCTCGCTGTCACACTAACACAAGTAGAGATTAAAAATTATCACCTGTACCATGTCGTCCAAGTTGCAAAGTCACTCTGAGGTAAAGAAACGTGGATTCACTTAACAATAATACGCCTGTCTTTACAGTACATCACTAACCTTGAGGTCGATAAAACGAAAAGCACACTGAATGGATGAAACAGTATGCGCCTTGAAGTTGGGGGGATGAAACCCAAGTTCAGTGTCAGTTCCAGTACAGTACCATAAATTTAAAAAAAGGTTAGGATGTCAATGAATACCGTATATCTTCAAACCTCGCACTTGTCCACATGGATAAACATTTATTCCCGATTCAAACGAGCCCTCCTCTTTCCTGTCCCACACACCAGTTTGCTTTCCCTGTATACACTGATCACAACCTACATCGACCTACATTGTTGTTGCTACCGATCTGGGTCCGGTGTTTAATTCATTGTTACCAGAGCGGAGTATGCCTGTACCTGTACATAGCCTATGTACTACTCAAAATAATCATATATGACATTAAACAAAAACATTAGACCTGACAACCAAATCTCACCTAACCTACAGTAATAATTTTAGTTTGGATGTCGTTCCATGTGGCTTAATTGTATTCTTTGTCGCCCTACAAAATCCTGCATTGAGACTGTCCAAAGGATTCTAATACAGTATTAGAAACCTCGGACTGTCACAAGGCAACTTGGTT